ATCCGAACCCTCGGCGGGAGCGCCGCCACACTCTCAAGCGGCGCACTCTCCAGTGCGCCACCTGGCCGGCCCCAGAGCATTCTTGATTGCCTGAGTAATAATGATTATATTTTGCTCACTCGATGGATCATTGGTTCACTTATATACACGTCTCAGCAAGTGCTTCAGCAAGTGATTCTATGTGTCCCCGTGTGCAGGCTGATTTCTTTGCGAGCATTTCCCATTTGCTGAACTCAGGATGTTTTTCTCTCTTTTCCTCTGTGCTCAGTCCATTCTGCAGAACCTGGACTTGCGGGGCCAGTCCATCTTCAGCTCTGTCCACACTTATGGCCTCTACGTGAACTTCAAGAACTTCGTCTGCAACATCGGGGAGGACTCAGAGTTGTTCATGGCCCTGTACGACCCCGACCAGTCCACTTTCATCAGGTAGAGAGACCCAGATCACCTGCCATTGACTTTACAGAATACCCAGGCTTCACCTGCCCCTGCCTAAGGAGCTCTTTGCTGAGTTTGAAGAGGAAGGACAGAGAAGCTGGGGAGGATTTCTAGGCAGCGTAAAGTAAAATGTTTTCACCTATTGAGCCTTTATGTGTAGCTGCCGAAACAGTGCGTATTGTCTGGGATTAAGAGATCACATAAAACTCATCAGGACATGGACACAGGAGCAAAAAATCTGAAAGACTGTAGGAAAGAGAGGAGGGAGGGATGAGTAGGCAGAGCACAGGGGGTTTTTAGGGCAGTGAAACTACTCCACATGATACTGTAATGATGAATACATGTAATTATACATTTGTCCAGACCCACAGAATGTACATCACTAGAGTGAACCCTGATGTGAACTGTGGACTCTGGATGATAATGACATGTCAGTGCAGGTTCATTGATTGTAGCAAATGCACCACTCTGCTGGGGGATGTTGATAGTCGAGGACGCTGTTCGGGGGAAGGGCAGTTATCTGGGAGCTTTCTGTACTTTTAGCTCAACTTTGCTGTGATCCCCAAACTTCTGTAAACAAAATAGTCTATGAAAAATAAAAAATATACTATAGGGAGTGATAGACAGAACATTGTTCAGATGTATAGCACTACTTCTGAGCAGTAAGAAAACATTTATTTTTGCAAAGGTAGTTAAAAGTGATTACTGATAAATTGTTTATTTCTAGAAAAAAGTTTTTGAGTGTGGTGATGAGGATTACAAGGGATGTGTTTGGAATGACTGTTACAAAATTAAATTAAATTCTTGATTCAGCAGAACTGAAACTTTTATGCAAAGAATTTGAGATGGACAGAAGACCCGAGACAGTAGAATCCCATAAAATCGACTCTGTCTGTGCCCATCTTGAGCAATGCTGGGCATGGATCTGGATGCAGTGTGCCCTGTGGAGCTGTAGCAGGGACACTTCTCCAAAGCCAGGGGACCCTTGAGTGGTGTGGCCATTTGTGTGGTCTTAGATCCACCTCAGCTACCTTCACACCTGCCTGTTGCACTTAATTGAGCACTTCTGACCTTTTACTTTACCCTTGTATGTCTATACAAAGGGAAACCTCCATCCCCACATAGCCTCTCATTAAGAATAATTTTTTTTTCCTTGCCAGTGAGAACTATCTAATTCGTTGGGGCAGTAATGGGATGCCCAAGGAAATAGAGAAGCTCAATAACCTTCAAGCAGTGTTTACTGTAAGTCCTGCCTTCTGTTTAATAATTTTCTTTGTTTATGATATTAGCAGGTACATGTGATGAGTCTATGGGAAAAGAAAAGATGAAAAGACAAAGCTTCATAACCTCCCCTAGCAGGAATATTTATTGAGCACCTATTAGATGCCAGGCATTGATTTAAGCACTTGAGATATATCCGTGAACAAATCAGGGAAAAAAAAAAAATTCCCTGTTCTCGAGCAGCTTTTGTCCTGATGGGGAAGATAGATAATAAACAACAATCCAATAAATGAGTAAATTATATAGAATGTTAGAAGTTCTCTAAGTGCTTTGGAAAGATTCGGAGCAAGGGTTGCCTTTTTAGATATGTTGGCAGAGCAGGCCTCTCTGAGAAGGAGCTATTTGAGCAAGAACTGGAGGTTGGTGAGAGCATCAGCTGTGCAGGCAACTGGGGGAGGGGCATTCCAGACCAAGGTGACAGCCAGGCAGAGGCAGCATCTAGACTTTGTTTCACATGCATGTATTTGTAGGGACTTTTCCCTCTCCTCCAAAATGCTGCTACATCTGGCTCAAGAATGAGAAGCTTTATTGGGCTACAGTTTGGGGCATGGCGACTCTCTCCTGGACTAGGAATGTTTTTGGGGTGCTCTCACTTCCTTATGACATCAGTGCTGAAGAGGCCCAAGAGCTGCTGCCACCTGTCCTGAGAAGCTCAGGGGGCAGCTATCAGCAGCTTCCACTGAAGGGGAGACTCTCCCTTTCCTTCCTTCTCTTTGCAAGCCCACATGCAGATTTTATTTCCTTATTTTTTTTTACCACTCTTAGGGCAAGGAAAACAGAGCCTAAGGGATAGCACCAAAGGAAGTGACAGGGATGAGCAGTGGCCCTGGTACAGGCTTATTTTTATTCTTTCTGCTAACATCACATGTTACACAGGACAGGCACGGGTTGAATCCCATCACTGACATGCCTGGGTGTTCACCTGCTGGTAAATGCAGGTGGGAAAGATCCTAGAACTCTTCTTGAAACCTCCGTGTCCCCCAACACACAGAATATTTCTTTAGTTCTGAGATATGTGGTGTTTTTTTTTCCCCAAATTCAAAAGCGATCGTTCCTTGTGAACGTTTAGAAAAAAACATTAAAAATGTATTATTGAATC